GCAATTAAAATTTAGATACATTTAGTATATTGACACAAATGTAGACATATAGGTATATAAGATGTCCGATAAATAAATATTGACATAACGATTGTGGGTAGGTTGAATGAGCTAAACTGAATAAAAAGTCCTATATAATTTTACGATTTTTGCAATAAATAACAAGAAATTATTTTATGAAGATCTGCAGAGGGCGTCTGCACGATTCAGCGACAAGAAACAACCCAGTATTTACAATTTCTAGAAGACTGGCGTAGAGGAGTGTTTTATAAAAGCCGATGGCACGAACAACTGGCGGCACTATGTTGTTTATAGAGTACTTCTTCAAAGTTTTACTACGCGCTTAGAGACCTTAAACGTTGGGTTGTCTCTTGTCACCAAATTGCGCGGATACATACTGATTTGCAGATCTTTATAAATTAATTACTTTTGTTGACTATAGAAATTCGTAAAATGGAACAGTACTTTCATATTCAGTTTAGTCCATTCCACAAATATTTTGTCAATAATTATCAGATATTCTGTAATATACAAATGTATTGGGATATCTGACAGTTATTATATATAGAGACATAGTGTATAGAAACAAATATATTGTTTCTATTTTTCGCATTAAGATGGATTAGAGATGCACCGGAAAAGTAGTCAATAATTATCAGATATTCTGTAATATATACAAATGTATTAGGATATCTGATAGTTATTATATATAGAAACATAATGTATAGAAATAAATATATTGTTTCTATTTTTCGCATTAAAATGAATTAGAGATGCATCAGATATTTAAAAAGTATCCAGTATCCGGTATTAGCCGATACTATTTTACTATCCGACCGGATAGTCGGATATCACAAGTATCCAAGAATACATCCGGTTAAAATTTTATATAATTAAAATGTTGATTTTTTGTTATATAAATGTTCTATAAATAAGTATGTATACTCATAATACTATAACATCTTACATATTGTTGCACAATTCCAATTTTTTCTCGACAGCTGTTTCTTTTTCTTTTTTAAAGACATTGTCACGGAATTCGGAAAATATCGGTTATCCGACTCGAAGAATTGTTTTCTCGGATATCCGACTGGATACTGGATATCCGATATCCGGGATCCAGTAATTTTACGATCCGGTGCATCCCTAATATGAAGACAACATAAGATAACTTGGCTATAAACATTACTCATGACAGAACTTATTTTCGCTTTTTCTTATTTTCATTATTTACTTTAATAATAAATTATCTGCAAAAATATAATAATTAATTATAACGTACTTAATAAAATATTTCTAATAATTTTGCAAATATATCACTCACTAGTGTTCTTGATTTCTTAAGGTAAATTGTGGTATAATTTATAAAGAATAAATCAACAAATATAGTAATTATGCAATTCCAAGATTGAATATCAACTTTAATCTGTTGTAGCCTATTTATACTAAAGTAACAGATTTATAAAATGCGATATTTGTAAAATTTTTATGTTATTATAAATTAATACACGGGATACTGTCTTTGTCTTATATCAAAATATATTATAAAAGTGATGTCATTTCTTTTTTCATAAATTTATATTACTTTAATATAAAATAACAAATAATTTAACTCACCGACACGATGCACAACAGCGGAATTGTAAACTACGTTGATCTGTAAAATACATACATATTCAGGTTATTAAATTACAGAGTTCCGATAATTAATATTCTAAAAAATTGTTACTGCACGCGTTAAACTTTTTTATTTTATTTGAGTAGACATTTAATAAAAATAATTATTATTCCTAAAAAAAATTTTTGCTTTATAATTATTATTTAAATGATTCAAATAAACAATATAAATAAAAGTGAATACAAATAAATTACTTCATTGGTGTCCCGCCGTTGCGTCCCGATGCCTCCCAGATACCTCCTCTCAAGTTTCTTCGTTACATCGTTCACACTCATTCGTGAAAACAACTAGATAATTACGATTAATTATATTTTATACGGCATTAACGATGTAAATTGTATCTAAACCGATATATTACGTTTTTTTTACTTCGTTCCGATTGTTCAGCGATTTAAATGCCTTTATTTTAATCTGTACCTAAAAGAGAATCACGAAATTTAATCTGCAAAAAGAAACACATAAATCACAACGTAAAATAAATTCAAATCCATAAGTTAATAAAACTATTATTCTTAATATTGCAACAAAACAACTGCTTACAATTATTCTATACGATGTCTATTCCGTTTTAATTGTTATCTTAAACGAAAACACGCAAAGTATCCTTATAAACGACCTCGATATATTAATGATATCTTATAAAAATTAATTGATTGTGCGGATTGTTAACTGCTACGAAAATGATTGTATTTGGAACTTGTTGCAATCACTTTAAGAGAGATAATAACGAAGTGACACACGGAGTAGCTCGTGTTGCTGCCTACCTACTCGAGTCATATTTTGCAAATGATAGATACTACACGATAAGTGAGATAATCTTGTGTACATGTTTCGCAACGCAAGTAACGAACGTCAAGTACCTTCTGTTAACAAATTCATCACCAAGACATTTAATATAAAATTAATGTGTATCAAATATTTCTATTATTAGTTAATGTTAGAACTTTCGTTAACGTTAGGATCACTTTAATCATTTGATACAACGATTTGCATATTCCATATTTTCAATCTGAATTTAACAGATTACGTTCAAATTGATCAAAAATTTAGAGAGCGTTCTTTCAATAAATCATTATTATGTTATAGGCTAAATATCACAAGAAAAATAAACAAGATTTAAAGTAATTCTTTAGTAAATCGAGTTACCATAGAAATGTCTAATCTTTTATATAATAAAGTTGAAGTATCAAAATTGATGTGTGCAAAAATCTACAATAGGTTAATAAAATAAGAGAAAAAAAATATTGAAAAAGTAACATTTCACGTATAATTTAGTGACAGATAAATGCAGACATATCGCAGATGCTTCTTTGACTAATTGCACACAAATCTGTCCCAAATTAGGCGGGACAATTGTGCCAGATTAGGCGGAACAATCTCACATTTTAACACTTTTACCCGCTTTACAATGCGTTTCAAATTTTTTCCGAAATTAAGGTTACAGTAATAAATTGTTCCTCTTTTTACCTTTTAGATACTGTACGTCATTATAGTGGCTTTCGCGAATGCTGCCTCTCTGAACGATTATATTATTTTTTTAAAACCCTTTACATAAAAATATATATGAAAATTATAATTTATTCGTCAAAACCCACATTCCGTATTGCTCCGTCATTAAGGCCCAGTTCGACAACTCACGGTTAACTCTTAACGAGGTTCAACTTATTCATTGTCTCTTTTCAATTCTCGAATTGGAAAGAGATGAGAAACAAATTCAACTTCGCGGTTAACCGTGAGTTGTGGAACTGGGCCTAAATCGAACTGCTACGTCATTTTACGCATGCGCCCAAAGTTTCCTAGAGGAGACGAATTCTTGCCAGCTTCCATCACTGCGGAAGAATTCCCACCAAAAATAGTCGCCATATTGTAATTTTTCTTGTCTCACGCACAACCGCTCGCAGAAATAAAGTGAATTTTCACAAAGTTTTCTCGTTTAATTAATCGCAAAAATAGCATACACATGCGCCCGCTGTAGAAGAGGTAACAAATTCTTAACAGAAATATAAACGATAACTTCCGTATGGAAAGAATCTATTGAGAACTATTGAAAAATAACTATTTAGAAATATTCAGAAAA